CCAACACGTATTAAAAAGTAGTACAGATATTGAAAATATCTACCCAAATTTCACATCCACCACATGTAACATGGAACCATGGAGAGTTTGGCACATCTGCGCATACAACCACCTACCCATTAAATTATGTAATCCTTAAGAATGCTAAAGAAATTATAAATTGGAGCAGCTCTATATATAGCATTGAAGCCCAAGAAGGTCAAATAGAAGGTTATGTATAGGTCAATAATTTTTCATCTATCTATTTGGCTGGCGTGATGCATTGATAACATTTTGTTTTCTTTATAATGACACAAAATCATGTTAGTCAAGACAGAAGAACTATAACACTTTGACTGCTCAATACTATTTCTTGCTGAGCTATTACATACATTGCATTTACATGTCAAGTCATTGACCCTTATTCCCAGTTTAATGTCATCATCCATCCCAGTTTAGCTATAATGACATTATCAGTTCCATTCTCCACTTCCTTTTAATAGTTTATCATGTTTAATTCCTCCCACCATGTTATTATATTTCCATTTTCACTCCAGTGTCATTACCTTTCACACTCCCACCCATGTCATTAAGCTCCCTTTCCAAGCCTCCTGTTTTACACTTCTCATTCATCCCAAATGTCACTTTATTTATTCATAGAGGCGCTCAAACAGATTGGTGTTTTTACTTTTTTTTTTTTTTTTTTGTGGGGGTAGGGAAATAATTCACTCTATATTGAATTGGCTTGGGGTCCAGAGTGAAACTTACTTTGTGTTCTATCAAGTGAGGTTAGTGAAAAGATACAAAATGTATATTAGCGTATAAAAATAGTAAAATCAAAAATATGTTCAGTAAAAAGTATATATTGAAATGGTATGACTTTAGAAGTTGCATATAGCTTTTCATGTCTTTACACCATTACAATTTATAGTCAGTATCTGATCTGTGTAGAACCCTTTGTTTAAGACACATTCCTAGTATGTATTATTGTTTCATTGAAAATGACAGACAAAATGAGGGTCTCACAGAGACAGATGTTAAGTCTGTGTATTATTTTTTTAATTTATATTTTTACAAATCTGCCACAGAGGACAGTGTAATTGGTTAAAAGATTAAATAAGACACATGCGTTATATTACAATCTGTTTACAGAACAATCAGTACAGTTAATTAGTACAATTATTTTATTTATAAAGTATTTTACTAGGGGCATACAAAAAAAAGAAACATTTGGGGCCTGTGGTGCATTTCTTGCATTCCTGATGCATGGAGAAATGCTCAACTCCTGATGCATGGAGAAAAGGCCTTCACAAGCCTCTGCTAATGTGTACATAGTTGATACTAAGTGACCCATAGGTTGAGGAGGCAGTGACCGTGGCGGTGGAGGAGGAGGATGAGGTAGCCAACACTGTTTATATATATATATATATATATATATATATATATATATGTCATAAAATGTGATCTGATCATCTTCTAAGTCACAACAATAGACAATCACAGTCTGCTTAAACTAATAACACACAAAGAATGAAATGTTGCCATGTTTTTATTGAACACACCATGTAAACATTCACAGTGCAGGTGGAAAAAGTATGTGAACCCTTGGATTTAATAACTGGTTGAACCTCCTTTGGCAGCAATAACTTCAACCAGACGTTTCCTGTAGTTGCAGATCAGATGTGCACAATGGTCAGGAGTAATTCTTGACCATTGCTCTTTACAAAACTGTTTCAGTTCAGCAATATTCTTGGGATGTCTGGTGTGAATCGCTTTCTTGAGGTCATACCACAGCATCTCAATCAGGTTGAGATCAGGACTCTGACTGGGCCACTTCAGAAGGCGTATTTTCTTCTGTTTAAGCCATTCTGTTGTTGATTTACTTCTATGCTTTGGGTCATTGTCCTGTTGCGCTTCAGCTGGTAGACAGATGGCCTTAAGTTCTCCTGCAAAATGTCTTGATAAACTTGGGAATTGATTTTTCCTTTGATGATATCAATCTGTCCAGGCCCTGATGCAGCAAAGCAGCCCCAAACCATGATGCCCCCACCACCATACTTCACAGTTGGGATGAGGTTTTGATGTTGGTGTGCTGTGCCTTTTTTTTGCAACACATAGTGTTGTGTGTTTCTTCCAAACAACTCAACTTTGGTTTCATCTGTCCACAGAATATTTTGCCAGTACTGCTGTGGAACATCCAGGTGCTCTTGTGCAAACTGTAAACGTGCAGCAATGTTTTGTTTGTACAGCAGTGGCCTCCTCTGTGGTATCCTTCCATGAAATCCATTCTTGTTTAGTGTTTTACGTATTGTAGATTCGCTAACAGAGATGTTAGCATTTGCCAATGACTTTTGTAAGTCTTTAGCTGACACTCTAGGATTCTTCTTCACCTCATTGAGCAGTCTGCGCTGTGCTCTTGCAGTCATCTTTACAGGACGGCCACTCCTAGGGAGAGTAGCAGCAGTGCTGAACTTTCTCTGTTTATAGACAATTTGTCTTACCGTGGACTGATGAACAGCAAGGCTTTTGGAGATACTTTTATAACCCTTTCCAGCTTTATGCAAGTCAACAATTCTTAATCGTAGGTCTTCTGAGAGCTCTTTTGTGCGAGGCATCATTCACATCAGGCAATGCTTCTTGTGAAAAGCAAACCCAGAACTGATGTGTTTTTTTTATAGGGCAGGGCAGCTGTAACCAACACCTCCAATCTCATCTCATTGATTGGACTCCAGTTGGCTGACATCTCACTCCTATTAGCTCTTGGACATGTCATTAGTCTAGGGGTTCACATACTTTTTCCACCTGCACTGTGAATGTTTACATGGTGTGTTGAATAAAAGCATGACAACATTTCATTCGTTGTGTGTTATTAGTTTAAGCAGACTGTGATTGTCTATTGTTGTGACTTAGATGATGATCAGATCACATTTTATGACCAATTTGTGGAGAAATCCATATCATTCCAAAGGATTCACATACTTTTTCTTGCAACTGTTTATATATTTATTTTTTATTTTTTTTAAATTGGAGTAGCCCCCAAAATATTGGGACATATAAAAAAAAAAACAAAAAAAAACAGACAACTCTGTTCTACAGAGTAGCTGTTGACATTATAGTTGCGCAGGCACTTTGTTGACTCTAAAGAACCTTGGGCCAATCGCACATCCCCGTGGCGACGACTTTGCATGTGGATGTCATCCATATCAACTTTCGATGCCAGTTTCTGCGCCTACCATGGTGACCACCGGTAACAGGGAATCAGGGTTCCATTCCATAAAGAGACCCTGAGAAACGGCTACCACATGCAAGGAAGGAAGCAGGCGCGCAAATGACCCACTCCTGACGCGGGAAGGTAGTGACGACAAATAACAATACAGGACTCTTTAAGGCCCTGTAATTGTAATGAGTCCACTGGAAATCATTTAACTCTGATCAATTGGAGGGAAGTCTGGTGCAGAGCCACTGACCCGTGTGTGCTGCAGCTGAAACTCCACTATCGTCTGCTGCTGCTCGCACAGTCTCATGAGGCGGTGAGCGAGAAGGCCGAAGTAATGCTGCAGCGCAGACAGGCGAGCAGCAGCAGGGTGACAACGCCAAAAGCGCGCACAGCTGCTACAGTGAATGTCACATCCTGTTCCAAGTTGTGGATCAGTCTGGTGATGACTTCTGGTATCCAGTACTCTTTTTACTGAAGCTGCATCAGGGTCCTGGTATGTGGCCGCAAAAACGCTGGTGCTCAACACCAGGGGGCATGCGTTTAACCTGCACCAGACCCTGCTAATCCATTCCACACTGTGACTCCTAACTTCAACATCAGGCATACTGGGTCCCGGTTGCCCGACCGCCGCCCAGACAGTGTCTGTGTCCTGGTCACCGGACTGCCCATCTGTAGGTGTGAAACAATATTACAAGTGACCGATGTAGTAAATTTGAACCAAAGTTACGCTTCATTTCGACTCTCAGATATGAAGTGAACACCCCAAATATACTATTTAGCACCAAAAAAAAAAATCCAATGTAAGTAGTAGATTAGCACCAAAACAATTAGAATGTTTACAATTGCGCTGTAACCGCAGTATTAGACACTTCTAGTAGACTCTCAGATATGAAGAGCAGGCCACAAAATGTACTATTTAGGAGATTAACACCCAGAAAATAAGGTTGTTTACCACTGCGCTGTAAGTACACTATTGGACGCTTCTATTTGACTCTCAGAAATGAAGAGCAGGCCCCAAAATGTACTATTTAGCAGATTAGCACCCAGAAAATTTGAATTTTTACAACTGCGCTGTAAGCACACTATTAGACACTTCGATTTGACTCTCAGATATGAAGTGCACCTCACTAAAATACTATTTAGCAGTTTAGCACCCAAATAATTTTAAGTTTTAAAACTGCAATGTGACAGCAGTATTTGAAGCTTCTATTTGACTCTCAGATATGAAGTGCACCCCACCTCACTAATGTACTAGTTTGCAGAATTCTTTCCTAAGCTGTCCCTATCAGCGGCAGCAATTTCTCCCTACACTAATAAGACCTCATGTGCGTGCGGCACTACACAACTCCAGCTTATATATAGAAGCTGGGTCACATGCTGCACTGGCCAATCACAGCCATGCCATTAGTAGGCATGGCTGTGATGGCTTCTAAGGGCACACGAGTCAAACGCTTGTTGATTGGCTGCCCTGTAGCCTTTCAAAACGCGCCATCAAATCGCCGAACACCGAACTTCAACCCGAACATACAGTGATATGTCAGTGTTCGGGTCCGGGGTCCAAAAAAACCTAATGTTCATTATGAACCTGAACTTTACAGTCCGCATTCGCTCAACTGTAGTCACCACTAATAATTGGGAATCTGGCATGAATGCATGTCAGGTTGCCTGCCAATCATGGCAAACTAAAGGCATATTATGCAGAAAACGCTCTGAGCTTACTGCAAATGCATCTAATGATCTCTTTATCTACAGTTTCTGGGGACTGTCAAGTAGTACTTACTTGTCCCCTCCTCTCCTTACCTTTTTACTAGAGGGGAAAAACTCATGGAATACAGTCTGTGACAGAGAAAAGGTGGATGTAGGGAGTGTGGAAAAAAAGGAGGCATGCTACAGTGTTAAAGGAACTGAAGCAAAAAGGGCATATACACAGTGTGTAAAGTCGGCTTTACCTTAACCCATTTCATTGTCAGTCAGTCAAAACAAATTCTGTTCCCCTACATCCCTCCTAGGTTCTGCACAAAGTAAAAACATGTAAAGTGTTGTAAAACAAAAACAAAAAAATGAAAAAGCCACCCTGCTAATTATATTGTTTGTCAAATACATTTGGTATTTTGTACATTAAAAATGAATGAATACCAACAATTTGGGGTTTTGAAATGTAATCCCTAAACTGGGATATCCCCTGAGTCTTAAAGGACCACTATAGTCACCCAGACCTTGTCAGCTCAATGAAGTGGTCTGGGTGCCAGGTCCCCCAGGTTTTAACCCTTCAGATGTAAACATAGCAGTTTCAGAGAAACTGCTATGTTTACATTGCAGGGTTAATCCAGCCTCTAGTGACTGTCTCCCTGACAGCCGCTAGAGGCGCTTCTGCAATGCTGAATGCAAAAATCGCATTTAGTGTGCAGAACATCCATAGGAAAGCATTGAGAAGTGTTTTTAATGCGCGTGTGGCTCTGGCCATGCATACGCATTCCGCTCCACTTGAGAGCTGACGTTGGAGGGGAAGGAGAGGTCACCAGCGCCGAGGGAGCCCAGCGCTGGATTAAAGTAAGTAACTGAAGGGGCTTTAACCCCTTCAGTGCCAAGGCAGGGGGGCCCTGAGGGTGGGGGGACCTAAGGGTTATATAGTGTCAGGAAAACAAGTTTGTTTTCCTTACACTATAGTGATCCTTTAATGTCCCAAGCTTTAACACGTCCATGGTTTGGAAACAAAATAAAATAAAGAAAACAAAAGGAATCTATGTTATGTTGTGAAAGGCTAAAGTGATTAATATGGGCAATTACATTTCATTTATCCATGAGGCCAAAAGTTGCATGACATCCTCTAATAGTTATGGTACCAATAATGGTATTAGTCAATTTAAAACCGATTTGTTTTTACTTAAAAATATATATGCCACAAATTCTTCCAAAACATATTTTTCCATCTGAACAATTTTTACAATGTGCTTGCAGGTGAGTTTCTAGCTTGAATTTATTTAATATAATAGACATGAATTATTGTGAAACATCTCTATCAAGTTATCATTATTTCAGTTTTGTCTGTAAAGATGTATCGAACTATCAACATTTTTTCCACTTGCAATGTCTGCCACCTAGATAACAACTTACTTGTATCTATTTAATTTTTCAAAGAGACAAATGGTTTATTTGGTATGTTTTGTTACATTTCAGAGACAGGCAAGTCACAGTGAAGCTTTATTAATGATTTTTGAAGAAGATATTTATTGTTGGTTCCAGGCTGCATAAAATACGTTAGACAGAAAATGCAAAAATGTAAAAAAATAAATAAATTTATTTGGATATTTGTGTATCTTGACAGCTAACTATATTAAACATACTGTATATAGGCCTGCTACATGCAAATTATATTAATAGAAATATATACGGTTATATAGACAGAGTGGCTTTAACCTTCATTATTATGTTGTATTTAGAAACATTTATTTGTCATAAAATAAAACTTCAGATAGTCCATCTTTTGTAGATTTTCCCAGTTTTCTGATCTCGTACTTGTCGTCTTAAAATGCTCTAAATATTAAATTATTATTCACTCTGGTTCCTCTAATTTAAGAAATATTATTGAGAGAAATACACATACAAGTCAGTGGCACACAAATTAACTTGAGCAAACCCCCCCCAAAAAAAACCCCACTGTTTGCAACTATGCACCTAAAACCCCATAAGACTCCATTATACACCATTCCATGATGACACACAGGAAGAGAGAGAAAGGTGTGCAAATATAATTAACTCCTGCCTTGTGACCTCACTAGAGGTGTTGACCGAGTTTAGCTCATTAACATAAGAAAAGATAATCAGTCTGAAGCAAGAGGACTCATAACCTTAGGCAGAACATTTGTGTGACAAGATGTTACTATGGTGCCCACAATGTTATCTGTGCAGTGAGTGATTGATAGTTAATATTATTCCTGACAACTTGCAGCCTTCCATAGGAAAATCAATGAGTATATTCATATGCCATGCCATGCCATGCACAATACTTTTGAGAGGTTAAAAAAAATAATTTTGGGCTTGCACATCTCTCATTGAGGGGAATCTTGGCATTTCAGATCAAGAAGCTTTCATGGGTGGAGCCCAAAAATGTCCTCTGGAACTACATAAGTGAGAAATCCAGCATGGACATCATGCAACAAGGGAAACTATAAAGTATATTACCATTCTCTATTATTGTCTCTAATGTATTTGTTTGCTTAACCCCTTAAGGACACATGATGTGTCATGAATCCCTTTTATTCCGGAAGTTTGGTCCTTAACGGGTTAAAGGGACACTATAGTCACCAGAACAACTACAGCTTAATGTAGTTATTCTGGTGAGTATAGTCAGTCCCTGCAGTAAATACTGTTTTTGAGAGAAAAGGCAGTGTTTACCTAGGGACGCCTCCAGTGGTCATTCCTCAGATTATTATTATTATTATTGCCATTTATATAGCGCTAACAGATTCCGTAGCGCTTTGCAATATTATGAGAGGGGATTTAACTATAAATAGGACAATTACAAAAAAAACCTTACAGGCACGATAGGTTGGAGAGGACCCTGCTCAAACGAGCTTACATTCTATAGGAGGTGGGGTGTAAAACACAATAGGACAGGAAATATTAAATAGGGTGGGAGTAAAGCAGAGCTGGAGGAGAGAGTAGAGTGCTGCCCTTTATGAGAGCGCAAGAGACAGGTATGTGAGGTAGAGGTTAGTCTGGGAGGCCATAAGAGATGGGTTTTAAGGCACTTCTTAAAAGATGCAAGACTAGGGGAGAGTCTGATGGTGGTAGGCAGGCTTTTCCATAGGAAGGGAGCTGCCCGCGAGAAGTCCTGAAAGCGTGAGTTGGCCGTACGGGTGCGAACAACGGACAGGAGGTGGTCACGGGTAGAGTGGAGAGACCGAGAAGGGACATACCTATGGATCTGTGAAGAGATATAAGAGGGGCTAGAGTTGTTCAGTGCTTTATAGGTGTAACAGATGGCTACTTGTAGTGCTGCTGAATGGCCAGGGTGATGTTTGGCTCTGCCCCCCTCCCCTAACCCGCCTCCTTGGCTGAGATCATTAGAATTGACAATCTCAGCCAATCCAATGCTTTCCTATGGGAAAGCATTGTGATTGGCTGATATCATCACTTCTGATGATGTCAGCCAAGGAGGCAGATCAGGAGCAGAACCAGTACCAGCATACTGGAATAGTAAGAGGGTGGGCCAGATAGTGTTTTTAACACTACAGTGTAGGGAATACATGTTTGTGTTCCTGACTCTATAGTGCTCCATTG